CTCTAGGACATCAATGAGGGAAATGATGGTATTATAACCCTGTGAATTTCGGTTTAGAAGAGTTATACATATATTACACTGGCGTAAAAACCCATTCACTTTGTAAAAAGGCGTTCATTCTCATACCAGAATGTACAAGTGCGTAATTCCTCCAGACCGGATTTTCTGGCCATGACACACTGCCCAGACTCCGTATTCCCAATTGATTAGAGTCACTGACGCCGATTCGGGCTCCAGACGGGCAGACAACATTCTTTAGTATTTCGCGAAAGATTCTTTGGTGTTTTTTTTATTACGAGTTCGTCTCCAACACACTGTTAGCGATGAGAAAGATACTATTCTAATCAATGAAATGATGCATATGGCACCGACGCATCGCAACTGCTCAAACACCATAAACTTTGGTTCGTTAAAATAGCCCCTAGCAAATAGGAACAGCGGGAAAATGCTATACGCAGTAGAAACCTGCTGGCTGGAGTCATATGCTTACCGCCTAACTCGAAGAAAATAAACAGTTGCATCATAAGCACAAGTTTCCGTATTCTCAGCAAGCTGCCTAGGCGCAAGAAGTTCAACTTAGTTTAAGAAATTTAAGTTTAAGTTAGTTTAGGAAGTTTCAGAGTGGCATCCGGAGTCGTACCAAGAGCATTAGATTACGATTAGCGCTCATTAATGAGTTCCAAATATGTCGTGTTCACCTTCTAAATGACGCTCAAATTCTGCTTGGTTGCCAGAAGAACATCTAACCACTGACAGTTCCTTCCGTCCTGACAGCAATTCAAGCAAACATTTCAGTTTTTACGGAGCAAATGACCTGAACGTTGCGGATCGCATCTGCAAGATGCAACCGTTTTTCGCTTTTTCCATGTGCTTACCAATTAATTCACTGAATAGTTTGCGACTACACGGTAAAGAGGGCACCAGCTGAGATGCTGTACTTTCACAGGTATTATGTTTCAAGATCATACAAGGAAATTGGTTACCTGATACTTGCCGAAGGTAGGGTGTTTGACAGTAATCGCCTCCTCCACGTGGTGCCTAATGGATTCATATTGTGATATATTGTGATATAAACATTCAAACATTGTGCCAAAGATCAGATATCAGCAAACAGCTACGGTAGATGGTCGGACAGCAGCTACTTACTGCATTTTCAGACGCGTAGGCATTGTCACGGCAAGCCTTCTACCTGTCCAAACCCAAGGGGCCTTTGAGCAGAATTAGCTTCGACTACAGAAGAAGCCAAATATTGTCACCTTGAACTGTCAGTCCTTGAAAGGTGAATACAGACAAACTGTCGTCACCAAAACCTTGAACAAACTAAACGCACTGATCGCATACCTCCAAGAAACGCGATTAAAACGACGATATCACAAAAATGTATTATCCTGCAGGCCAAATATCATACGTATTTCTCGCATCGAAGGCCGCAGAAGGTAGATTTGGTTACGGAGTCGCAGTGCGCTCAGACTGCAAAGGAGTTGTACAAGAATGGGGCCAATTAGCCCAAGATTGTGTTGGATAAAGATCTCAAAATCGTTCCGAATAACATGGATTAAAACCGCCCATGCGCCTACGAATAACGCAGCTGAACAAGGAAAGAACACTTTCTACGATACGCTTGAACAACTGCTTGGTGTATTACCTTTGAACGACCTTACAATCTTTGAAATAGATGCCAATGCACAATTTGGCAGCGATGAAACGAGTGTCGCACTGGGGAAATGAATCCTGCCGGCAAAAACGACCATAGAAAATAAAACGTCGCTCCTCAATATCGCCAAAAGATTTAGCCTGACAACTGCGACAATCCTGTCGCGAAATCGATACTCACAAAGATCAACATGGCAAGAGCAACAGTAGTTTAACTACTGAGCAGAAGAAAGAGCTTAAATGGAAGAAGGTACAACTACAGTTGCATTACATACTCATAAATAACTGTTGGAAGCACATCATAAGACGCTCTAAGAGTACCTGGAGATGCGCCTGCCTGTTCGAACATGTCCCGGTCGTCTTACCGATGGTGCCATATGTTACCGCCAAAAAACTGGAGACGATGCCAAGACTTAGGCTTAATATGGCATCGTTACAGGAAGATCCAGATATCAAGAGAAAATTCTCAGTGGCGTTCAATGAGACGCTGGAAAGGCATTTGCCGATGACCCACGGTGATTTCAGCATGTGCCGCTAGCGAAAGTATCCCAGTACTCCAGAGAGAACGTACCTATCAATCTGTGAGAGCAAGGACTGAGAAGCTGAGAGCCAGACTTTTAGGGAATATGGCACTGGTGAAAGAAAAGAAAACCGAACTGAAATGCCATCTGACTGAAGAAAGGAACGCACTGTGGCCAAAACACGCTGCAGTTATGGAAAAAAACGTTCAAACACAACAACCTTGGCCGAGCGTTTGCTTCAATCCGGCAATACAACGGAAGAAATAATTCCAGCCCGTCTTTCGTTAGTTCGAAGGATGGATCACGCGTGCTCATAGGATTTAAATGTGCCTAATTATTTCGGGAAAATTTCCGGCAACTTATTAACCGACCTCCGTCAGCTGTTTCAATGCTTTGCTTTCAGCGAAGTATGACGTCAGATTATGACCGCAGCACACCAGCGAAGAGATTATGAATGCTCTAAAAAGAGCAAAATGGTAATACAGCTGGACCAGATGAAGTTCATGTGAAGCTGTTGGAACACGTTTACTACAGGACTGCAGGTGCTGTCAAACGTCATTCAGCAGATCTGACGAACAGAGACAATGCCGGCATAATGGTGTCAAGCAGTGGTTTTTCCGATACAAAAGGCGCTGTACTGAATGTCCAAAATTACGGAGGAATCAGTCTCCTCTGTGAGGCTCTAAAAGAGTTATCGTCCCCAGTATTCGACCCTACAGAGAGAATAATACCAGAGAAGAACAGTGTAGCATCTGTCCGGGCCGATCTATCATATTATAACATTGCGGCTTTTGCTGAAAACATACAACCGATACCACAACCTGCTGACTATTGAGTTCATTGGCTATGAAGCAGCTTTCGATTGTCCAGATCGCGGGACCTTGTACGAGTTGCTAAGAACTGACGGTGGCCAGCCAGTCTTTAACATCCTGAAAAACATTAATACCAGGACAACGGCAGCGGTGCAATCACGTTCAGCGGTCTCAGACAGCTTTCATACTGATACGGGAGTACGGCAAGGGTCGCCCCCCCTCGACCGATATTATTCAACTATTTCATTTGATGCCGTGATGACA